TTTTCCCGAGTCAGTTGTATCGCATTAAGCTCACTATGGATTAAATCATTTATCATTCTTCGTGTATAACAGCCTGTATAATAATCTATAACACTGATACAAATGTCTGTGTGTGTAAGGTAATACACTGAAACCATAGTTTCCTCGATTCTGCATGGCTTTGACAACGACTTTTTCTAACTGATTTCTTCCTCAGTGCAAAAGTGTAAGAATCTATTTAACACTAGCTTTGTTTAAAAGCTTGGGATCTTATTAAGTTTAAAGCTTTGTTGAAAAGCATTGGCAGGAGAAGACCATATAAAAATCTATTAAACACACTTTCTAAATCTTTGTTTAAAACAATAGGCAGGAGAAGTCCATATAACAAAATGTTAAATACACTGTCTAATATTTTGTGGGAAAAAAACGGAAGGAGAAGACTACATAACAATCTAGTAAACACTGTCTAAATCTTTGTTTAAACAATAGGCAGGAGAAGACTGTATAACAATCTAGTAAACACACTGTCTAAATCTTTGTTTAAACAATAGGCAGGAGAAGACTGTATAACAATCTAGTAAACACACTGTCTAAATCTTTGTTTAAACAATAGGCAGGAGAAGACTGTATAACAATCTAGTTCAAAACATTAGACAGTGTGTTTTTTAAACAATAGGCCGGAGAAGACTGTATAACAATGTATTAAACACACTGTCTAATGTTTTGTTGAAAAGAATTGGCAGGAGAAGACCACATAACAATCTAGTAAACACACTGTCTAATGTTTTGTTTAAACAATAGGCCGGAGCAGACTGTATAACAATGTATTAAACACACTGTCTAATGTTTTGTTGAAGAGAATTGGCAGGAGAAGACCACATAACAATCTATTAAACACTGTATAAAGCTCTGTTTAAAAGAACAGGCAGGAGCAGAACATATAGGAATCTATTCAAAGCAATCTCTAAACCTTTGTTTAAAAGAATATTTCCTGAAATTTTATACTAAAAACACAGAAGAGCTATAGAAATCAATCAATCTTTATATATTCACCATTTCTCTAACAATGATATTAAAAGGAGGAATTACAAAAAGTCGATACCACTAACGAACAGCGACGATAATTATAAATCATATGTCTACTAGAAAAGATAACGTTAGAGCATATGCTAAAAACCATATGTACCACATGGTCATAAAATAACAGCAGCTCCTAAAAACCATATGTACCACATGGTCATAAAATAACAGCAGCTCCTAAAAACCATATGTACCACATGGTCATAAAATAACAGCTGCTAAAAACCATATGTACCACATGTTCATAAAATATCAACAGCTGCTAAAAACTATATGTACCACATGGTCATAAAATATCAACAGCTGCTAAAAACTATATGTACCTAATGGTTATAAAATATCAACAGCTGCTAAAAACTATATGTACCAAATGGTTATAAAATATCAGCAGCTGCTAAAAACTATATGTACCACATGTTCATAAAATATCAACAGCTGCTAAAAACTATATGTACCACATGTTCATAAAATAACAATATATGCTAAAAACCATATGTACCACATGGTCATAAAATATCTAAATATGCTAAAAATATATGTACCAAATGGTCATAAAATAACTAAATATGCTAAACACATATGTACCACATGTTCATAAAGTATCAGCAGCTTCTACAAATTATATGTACCACATGGTCATAAAATATCTAAATATGCTAAAAACATATGTACCACATGTTCATAAAATATCAGCAGCTTCTAAAAACTATATGTACCACATGGTCATAAAATAACAGCAGCTGCTAAAAACTATATGTACCACATGGTCATAAAATAACAGCAGCTGCTGAACACCATATGTACCACATGTTCATAAAATATCAACAGCTGCTAAAAACTATATGTACCACATGTTCATAAAATATCAACAGCTGCTAAAAACTATATGTACCAAATGGTTATAAAATATCAGCAGCTGCTAAAAACCATTTGTACCAAACGGTTATAAAATATCAGCAGCTGCTAAAAAC